TGCGAGCATTAGCTACATCCGCGGGGTCTGCTTGGACGAGTTTGAACTATGGGGGGAGTGGTTCCATGGTCAGGATGGGCTCTATGACTTCCTCGAAACCATCTGCGAACCTTTGTATGATCACCTCCAGCCCAGGATAATTCATGAGGACAAGATAGTCAAGCTTTGCCAGCTTTGCACGCTGCTGCAAACCCGATACCTATTCGATCAGGATGAGGAGTTGGAGCAACCTCTGGACGCCAACCAACTCGACTTCACCACTTTAATTCAACCTGCTCTGGAAGACGTTCAAACTCGTCTCGTCTTCCGTGCTCAGGCTTTCCTCCGCGACGAGATCGAACGGTACAAGCCCCGTCCCGAAGACCTGGATTATCCAGCACGCAACCGGCAATTCTCAATCTCGGTCACGGAGGGCCAAATCTCCGGCCGCAAGATTGCTTCCGAGCCCATTGTCAATATCCAAAAGCCCACGAAACACATCGAAGATAGCACAGATGCAGACCCGGATGCGAAGTGGGATCTTGAGACTCCAAATGCCTTTAGTGGGTGGTATCCGACCCTCCGTAAAGCCATCTGGCTCCTGAGCCGCATTTACCGGCTTGTCAATGTAAGTCCTCCTTCTTTAGGAATCATCAAGGCCAACCTACTCATAAATGTACAGTCGACTGTCTTCGACGATCTCGCCCATCAAATCGTCCACCAAACCACCCTCTCCCTCCACTACGCTAGCACTCTCATCCCCCCCTCAACTACTACAAACAATCCCAAACCCGCAACTCCTACTCCCCCAACTCGTCTAGAGACCCATCGCCAACTCTTCCTAATGAGCCATCTCCTCATCCTTAAACAACAAATTGTCGCCTTCGACATCGAATATGTCGCCCCGGAAACCTCTTTAGACTTCTCTGGTCTAACGCACACCTTCTGGGAGCTTCGCGAAGAGCGCGGCGGCCTCTTCAACCCACGCAATCTCGTCCGCCTGGTCGGCCATGGCCTCCTGCCCCGCGTGGTCGAGAACATGTTAGATGCAAAAGTCGAATTGGATGGCCGTCTCCGGACCGTGATCAACGACTTCATCAATGGATTTGCCGGCACAATGACCGCATCACTGCCTGCGAAGTTCGTGGCCACCGCCACCGCTCAGAAACAGGCGGCGGAGGAGTGGATCTATCCGACGTGTCGGAACATCGAAACTGAGGTGCTGGGACTGAGGCGCGTGTTGGGGGAGTACCTGGATGATCTGCGGATGCGGGAGACGTTGGTAGGGGCGGTTCAAGATCGGGTAATCCAGATTTACGAGGAGTTTTGGGAGAGGTTTGTCACCGAGGAGAGACGAAGCGGGTCAATGGCTGCAGGAGCGAGAGGGAAGGGGAAGGGGAAGGGACGTGAGGACGATGTCTGGGATGTGGATACTTTTGCGGAGTGGTGTGAGGGTGTCTTTCGAGTGGGTATCTCGGGGGTAAATGATGACGATGATGCTGTTGGTGATGGAAATACTACAAGTCGGACAGGGAGCCTCGGCTCACTGCAGAATCAATAGATTGTGGGGCAGGTGAAGTTGTAAATAGTCATACTCTTTCTTGGCACATAGTACGGTCGCCCGCGACCAACCTTATCATGAAGTGTTATCAGGTGACCGGCGCGATAAGAAACCCGAACTCTTATCGGAGGATCGGCGGCGGAGTGACCAGTCAGACAAGCCAGTCACAACAGGTCATGGGGTACAAGCACGTGCAGAACCCGGGGGAGCTTCGAGTCTCCTTCGCCTCGCCTCATTACTGACTTCTGCTCCTTTTGTCCTCTCCGCATTGCATCCTTATCCTTCATTCTTACCGATTCCCTTACTCTCATACTTGGTGTTGAGCAACTTTAGTACCGTCTCGAGGCCTAGTCAAGTGCCTCAGCACAGCCAATGTTTATCTCCGATAGCGACACCCGAGCTATCGGGTCCACCGCCAGCTCTGTGAGAGATACGCTCCTGCAGCGTCTCCCCGGACCCCAGCAGGTCCTGAAAGCCATCACAGGCACACTCGGGGTCTCCTCTCTCTCGGGATCAGATTACTCGACCTCAGAATTGACATTTCAGCATTGCCCGGCTGCCGAATTGAGCTGTAAGACACGGTACCATGGCCAGGATACCTGCTGCTTCAACTATCCGGGGGGTCAGATGCTACAGACGCAATTCTGGGATGCTGATCCCGCTATTGGACCGGAGACTGCCTGGACAATTCATGGCCTCTGGTGAGTTGATTCTATGTTTATCAAACGATTGCGAGAGCCTGTGATCCTCTTATTCAACATTTCAATAACCCGCCGGACTGACCCATATCCCCCTCTTCTCCTACATAGGCCGGACCACTGCAACGGCGGATTCGACCAGTACTGTGACTCGAAGCGGAGGTATAGTAACATCTCGCTGATCTTGGTGGATGCCGGTCGTGGAGACTTGCTCGACTACATGAGCACATACTGGAAAGACTTCCGCGGAGACGACCCGAACCTCTGGGAACACGAGTGGAATAAGCACGGTACTTGCGTGAGCAGCCTTGAGACACACTGCTACACGGAGTATATTCCTCAGCAGGAGGTTGTCGACTACTTCGATAAAACAGCCGATTTGTACCGAGAGCTACCTACCTATGAGGTGAGCTGCTCCCCCCACCAATCTAAACACCACACACTGACGAGCCGGAACTACAGACCCTAGCCAAAGCCAACATCCTCCCCTCCTATACGAAAACCTACACCCGTCGCGAAATTGAAGATGTGCTGTCACAGTCGCACGGCGCAGAGGTCACAATCCGTTGTCGTCATGGGTCTCTGAATGAAGTATGGTACTACTTCAACGTCGCAGGCCCTCTTGTATCGGGGAAGTTCGTTCCATCGGACCCAGGTGAGTCCAGCAGCACGCCGCGACCTCTCCCCGCCTCGCGCATGCCACATCCCCTTGCTTCGCTTTTGGATCACTTTCATACTAACCAGACTACAATCTAAATCAGACGGACAAATCTCCAACTGCCCGGCCAGTGGCATCCGCTACCAGCCTAAAACCCCACACCACGGCCACGAGCCCACAAAAACAACCACTCACAATCCCTCGGAGCCCACCTCGCCCCCGGGCGCCCCTTTTCAGGGCCGGGGCAACCTGATGATCTCAACATTGGGCCAGAAGAGAGGGTGTATTATCAGCCGCGGGGCGTGGTTCTCCTCGGGCACGTGTGCAACCTTTACTGCGAAGAAGACGTCAGGTACACCACTCCCTTCCCTTTCTACGCTCAAGACTTTTCTGTTTCATCATCTGGCAGAGCAATTTATTGAATAGAGAACTTGGATTAGATGATCTCTTTACCATCCACTCCAGCAAGGGCAACTGCGGCTTTGCCAAGGACATCTTCACCTGCGGTGGTGCCGTGCACAAAGCACAGGAATTCAGCGTAAGCACACACCCTCCCCCTTATTTCGCCCGAGATATCCCGCTCCCCGCTCCTACGCAACCTTTTAAATCACACAATGGTGTTCGAGTCAAAGGTTCACTGACATTGTACAAACTTTACATCTCCAGATCGACGATGGCAAGCTCGCATATAACGGCAACTCCACTTTCTTCGCCGACAAGGCTCCCAAGGGGCCCACGAAGAGCAAGGTCTTCGCCTCGCAGGAGAATCATCAGATTGAGTTGGCGATCACCTGGAGGCCGGATTACTGAGTTGATGGTTTAATGCCTTTTTTTTGTGTTTGGGTCTGCTTGAATATGGGTTGAGCTCCATTCCTTTCGTTCGTGGTGTGTATCGCATATGCATGATATTATAGATAGATTTATACAATCATATATACATGTCTAAGCGTGTGCGTTAGAACCGACGACGCAGAGAAGGATGTATGTGGATATATTTCCCCGAGATTCTGAGGTAGATTAGACGAATTGGGAAACCATATATTGTGGGCTATCTACCATACTACACCTAGGGTGATCATCGCAAACTGAACACAGCATGCCACTCAATCGTTGATTTCTTTGGGATGGATGGAAATCAAGCCGCTTGTACGCAGTAGCCTATCCACGCTGGAGACTTCTACCTTTCAACTTTTATCAGCCAGGATTATGAAGGCTCCTTCAATTGTTACGAGAGGATCCCATCCACCTTGGTGCTTCGTTAAAGCGTAACAATTATACCTATAGGGTTCTGGGCTTGAATCCTGACTCGGATACTCCTACAAAGCTCGACGCTTCATTTTCCATTCCATATATTCTGAAGAGTAGATCCTCTTGTCGAAGCCAAGTAACATAATTTAGGGGGGTCTAGGATGACTAGAAAAGAACAGAGGGGTTGCTGCGGGCTACCTTGGAAACCGGGATTTATGTGATCGTGTTTTCTTGGATGGCTGGGAATGTTAGGCGCAGACAGGTTGCTCTATTTGTCAATGAGAGTATCTTATTTCGAAAGTCAAGCTGGGTATTCTGGGTATATGAAGGGATGCCGATTATACCGGTAAACAAATCATGAAGGGTTGGATTAGAATAACTACACCTATGGGTTTTACTGGGGCTATACGAACACCGCAGATACACATATAGCTTTACCATTTGTTTCACGGCTAGATTAAAGGTAGCACGCCAGGGTGCGTGCTGTAACTGCCGCTCAGCGGCTTAGAGCTGGCAGAAGTGAGTCTGATGTCAATACTTCCACTAGCTATGTACCTGAAGGTCGTCAGGCATCGCGGAGGGAAGAATTGTAGCTATGCTGTTTACTTTGTCAACTCCTTGCACAGCATGTCAGAGGACTGGACTTGTTTACATGGCAGACATGGAATTCGCCACTAACGATATAGCGTACGCTGTGTGGGCACAGATGTCTGGAAAGATCTCTTTCAATACATGGTCTGAGCAGTTATGGTTTAACCAGGACCTCTAACAGAGAAAGATATGTTTCAGGAGGGTTGCATTAGTCTTTCATTAATATCCTGTTCATCAGAGAAGAGAAGTGCCTCAAATGCACATAGATACATGTCTCCTGAATCCCGACTTCTCACCCATCCATCGAATTACACCTCAGCTTTCAACCGCTAGACCACAAACCCACGAAAGAAAACAGATCATCAGTTGCTTTTCCACACGCGACTTACTCAAAGCAACAGTCCACGCTGGATATCCCCCGGTCCCGACAGCGGAAGCTGGTTGAGCTCGACGTCCTGCACCCGCGCGGCGGCGGCGACGACGTCCAGCCTCAGCAGGAAGAACAGCAGCTCCAGCCCCGGGTAGCGCTTGATGGCGAAGCCGACGTAGTCGAGGTTGAGGAGGCGGGCGTGGTTGTAGACCGTCTGGAAGCGGCCGGCCAGCCACCACAGGTCGAAGACGTCGTGGGGCTCGCTGCGGGTGGCGGCCGCGCGCAGCTTGCCCTTGAAGATGGCGAAGGCCGGCAGGTGCTGCACCAGGCCCACGCCCATGCGTTCGCCGCGCACGAGGGTGAGGCGCGGGTAGCAGTGGCACATGGTGTAGTGCGAGCCTAGGGTTTAGGGAGGGTTAGCTAGCATTGGGGATGGGGGGTGTTTTTTCTGGCAGGAGGGGGGGGGGGACTTACCTCGGAAGCGCTCGCAGAAGATCTCGATCAGCACCGGTTCGCCCTGGTTGGCGCTGTCACTCCAGACCAAAGCGACGTAATCCTCGCGGTTGCGGGGGATCACGGTGAAGTTGCTGACGCCGTCCACCAGAGCGAGGATCTCGGGCTTGGTCGCGGACACCAGGCAGTCGATGTCACTCGTCTCGCGTCGGCTGCCGAGCAGGGTGCAGGCGTAGCCGCCGAAATGACCGTATTTGACGCCCGCGCTGGATAGGGCCGTGTGGAGGGCAATCGCGGCGTCGTTGAGACGCTCCTGACGCATGGTGCTGGTGTCCACGAAGAGGTTGTACCTTCGGGACAGAGGGTTAGAGAGACGGGTCTGTGTCTCCTGGTCCAAGGGCTGAGCTTGGCTTGTCTGGGACAAGAGTTGCTGGTGTCTGGCACTACTCTCAGTATGTGAGGCTGTCTGCTATCAGCTGTGCAGCGTGTTACTTACGGTAAGGTGTGTAGGATGCGGTATGCAATGTATCTGCTGGATGACCGGGTGCTTCACAGTAGATGCTCGTGCTCAGAGCAGTGCTAAGGTCAAAGACTGAAGACTTGTAAGACAAGAATCAAGTCAGAGAAGAAAGAGAGAGTGTGTACATGTGCTTGTGTAAGTGAGAGATAGAAGCAACATCGTCGTGGAAACAAAGGGCAACTCAGTCGCTGGGGCATAAGAGCTCACAACACCTCAGCGCTCGGCATTCTCCGCAATTCCCAGCCCCAGGTTGCGCTGCCTCAGCCTGCTGCAAATTCAGTCCCCTGTGAAGGCTGCCACTCTTTGACCTTGCGGGTCAGTCTCCAGGACTGCTCTGAGGTCTGCCCCTTAGTGCAGCCCATTCACAGCTGCTCTGTGGTGCACTTGGCCTTCCAGTCATCCATTGATTAAGTCTGCTGCACGCAGAAAAGCTGGGAAGGCATGCTCCCAGAGATGTTGAGTTCAGCCAGGTAAGCAGACCTGGCATCCGAGGGCTGCATCCAGAGACAGACGCCTATTATCAACCTGGCATAAGACGGTCTCGCAGCCATGGCTCCCAACACCCTGCAAGAGATTAGACATGTTTATTTCATTGACAGAGACACTCACATACGCCACTTGCGTAACATCGTAACATCAAAGCCACACTTCATCTTGTCACCAGCGCGAGACCTGGCAAAGAGACTCATTGTCATGAGCCTACGTGAGTGGTAACACACCGAGTGCAGCTAGTTGATACTAACAGAGAAACGGAGCGGCTCCAATAAGCTACAGAGCACGTGATCTACACACGCCCTCACATCAAACAACTAGGTATACACACCCCCAACAGCAGTATAGATTAGCACAAATACTCTCCAAAGAGATACAAGAATCCCCGAGCAAATCCGCTCACTGTTTCACCCGCCAACAAGCAATGTCAAACCCACCACCACATCCCAAATCCTCTCCGATCTCCACCTGGATATCAGCCACAGTACCTAACCTAGACTTCCCAGCATCAGCAGCAGGCCGCGGAGAACATTCCAGACGGAGAACAGCGGCCTGTGCTCGTGGCGCTCTGCGTTTGTGACGGGGCTTCTGCCGCATTTTAGGAAGGAAGTTGATGTCTGGGTCTTTGGGCATACGCACTTTAGTGCTGACTTTATGCCAAGGGCGATACGGGCGGTCAGTAAACAGCGTCAGTTATACCATTGCTTCCATGGTATACAGATGCCACCCCTAGGACGGACTGATATACTGACAGTAAAGTCTGCTATACCTTGCGACCTTGTGGTCTGCATCCTCAAAATATATATGTACACAATGGATGAAAAGAACATTCGGCAGAGTGGTCTGCACACTTAACAACACCTTCCTCACTGAAATGTACGCACATTATGTCGCAAAGTCCAAGTTACGAAAGCGGAAGAGGGGGGTATGAGCACAAGAAGAAAAGTACAATGCAGGGGACAAGGGCTAACGGGCTAATGATAACACGCTAAAGTGGGGACTGACTGTACACTACTACATTGCTTTTTGGTGTTTTGGTTCCCTTTCAAAGGACATGCCGGATCTTGGCATAGAGTTCCGTGTCGAGAAAGTTGTACTTGGGATCAGGCTCGCAGAATGGATGACGAGTCAGAAGAGTCTCCGCCGTGGGACGATCGAGGGAATCCCTGGTTGAGAGTCATATTAGCATACCAATACGAAAGCAAATAGAACGAGAGGAGAAAAACTCACACAGTAAAGCAGTCGTACATAAAGGCAAGCGCGGCGGGACTGATGTTCATGGATACGTCCTCCGGGATAGGAGGTGCCTGACTCAGACTACCCAGTTTGAAAATGGCACCAATCGCCTCTTCCTTACTCCATGGCCGGCGGCCAGCGAACATCTCCAACACCACACAGCCAAGGGACCAAATATCCACTTTGGCACTGTACCCCATGCCTTGGGACTGAATGACTTCAGGCGCCATCCAGAATACTGACCCTTGCATGGAATTCGTCGAATCGTTGCCATATATGTTGTCCGTCTTCTTCGAGATGCCAAAGTCGGAGATCTTGCATGTTCCGTCAAGATCAAGAAGGATGTTGTCGGCTTTCAGATCACGGTGTAGAATGCCCTGGTCATGAAGGTATGCCAGCCCGCTCAACGTCTGATGCGTGAGAGACTTGACCACACTCTCTTCGAATTTACCATGCTTTCGGAGACAGCTGCCAATGGAGCCACCAGAAATATACTCGAGGTAGATGGAGATAGATAGATCGCCTCGTTCGCAACCGAGATACTGCACAATGTTCGGATGTTCCAGGTGCTGCATGGTATCGATCTCTTGGTCCATCGCAGCGACCATCTCCTTGATTCGGTCCGTATCTTGCCCTGCGATGCGAGGATTGACCTCCACCTGCTTCACAGCCAAGACCTCACCATTGTCGGCATTCATGCCGAGGTACACTCGGCCGTAGGTTCCCTTGCCGATCAACTGACCGCGAATGATCCGGAAGGTGGGCTGCCGTTGAGGGATGTTACCAGAGGGTGCATGAGTTTGGGGAATAGGATCAAGCTGGCTCAACCGGCTGCCAGGCTTCGGGCTGATCTGCATAATCTTGGCGCCGAACATCTTGGTGCTCTTGCGACGAAGAATGTCACCCGATCGTTGATTGCCGGTGGAGGAGGTCACACTTTTGTTCCTGCTAGCTCGGTTGGCTCCCTTAGCCACTTCTCGGATAGACTTCATTCGAGTAAGTCCACCCCCAGAGCGGCTTACATTCCGCCGCGCAACAGCACCTGGCTCCGGGGGCCTGACAGGTGGTTCGCTGGGAATGTTGACAGGGGCCGAAGGATGTGGAATGGCGTAAGACGGACCGTCTGGTTTTTCCTCGTGGCTCAATTCGTTCTCCGCTGCCATCTTGCTTGCTGGTGATGATGGTGGGGACATGCCCTGTCCATCCAGATAAGGAGTGTCAAGGTCAATATCAGGGAAGAAGTCATCGAGATGATCGATAACGCCCTCGACAGGAGGTCTGCTGGCCCAGATGTCGCCTCGGGCAAACGAATCTCTGCGCGGGGGCCGTTCATCTTCCGGCGAAGCAGTCATATCAGAGTGATATGCTTCCGGAGCGCTTGAGTCGCCGCTAGACGCCAAGAAAGTGTCACGGGTAGCACTTGGAGACCGAAAGCTCACAGAGAGTCCTTTGCGTAGTCTATTTTCGGTGTTCAAGGTAAGAGACGGCTTTGCCGCTCTCTTTTGCGATTCGGGTGAGCTGGTCATTGATCCCTTCTCCGTCACAGGTGATTTGGTATTTGCCAATGGTATCGCAAAGAGACCATCATCGGAGTCATCGTCAGAATCATCCTGTGGCAAAGGCGAGCGCTGGAATGAAACTTTGGTTTCCTCAAAGTCGAATTCAGGTCCGTAGGATTTACGGGACTGCAGACCCGGCCTGGGTTCCGGGGGCGAAGTGTTGCCCTTGATTGGTGACGGCACACTGTGTGCCGTTGGTGTGGCTTGACTATCCTGGTATGTTCCCTTCACCTCGTCTATTGCCAGATGTCAGCGACAGAATCACATATACGTCGTCATCCGAAAGGTTGCCGTAAAAAGGTACCAAAAGGGCTTACCTGAATGATTTGTGGCGGGACTGCTTCCCACATTCATAGTTGGGCTGAAAGAGCCCGCTGCTGGTGGTACTGATGGCATGGGTGTTCCAATAGCGCTAGTGATTCTACCAACACTAGCTAGAGCGGCTCCAAGACCGTGTGACTGCGCAGGAACTTGAACACGAGGACGATCAATGTCCCGTTTCCTTAGAGAATTAACCTTCGTGAGAGTACTTGACTCATGTGGTGCAGTCGGGGGTTTGCGGAGTGGCACCAATGGTTCGGATTTCTTGTCTTCATAAGGCGATATGCGGGGAGAGTCAAAATCAATGACGCCTTCGCGCCTATAGCCGGTTTCGCCGTAGGCATCCTTCCTCGGTTGCGGCATAGGCGGGACCTTCGAGATGCGATAGGCTCGCTGTTTCCGCTCGACCTCGCGCATATGCTCCTCATGACGAGCTAACAAATCCGCCTTTTCAGCGTCAGCTGTTCCACCGTCCGCAGCATGGTCCACGGGAGAAGCTGCAATAGAAGCTTGCGACACGTCACGCGGAAGTTTCGCAGAGGACACCTTCAGCTGTTGCCGTGAAGAAGCTACTTGTGGTGAGGTAGGCTTATTTTGAGTCTGAGGTGAGATCCTGTTCAAGGCATCTTCATCCAGTGGCTTTCTATGCACTTGATGGGCAGACGTTGGTGAAGCAGTCGCTTTGTCTGGGATAGAAACTCCCAGCCCCGCAAAGTGAGGGAAGCCATTGGTAGCCAGTTGCATGTGCGATCCACGTACGAATAATTTGAGTGAGCCTAGAAAGTCCGACCTCGACCTCCGACATAGAGCCAGATTGGTGTCGTTCAAAGGTTCGTCATGTTCCGTTTGGCCGGGCTCGGTCAAGAAGATCTGGGCCGCAGTCCAGTCTGATATTCCAAGGCTCTGACAGATTGCAGAACGCAGCGTCTCAACAGAATCCATTTCGGTGATATCCACCAACCGATAATTCCAGCCATCCAGAGTAACAAAAGTCCACTTCTTGGCTTTTTGCGTTTTTTGGCGCAAGACCAGGCGTTCATGATCCGACATGGATGCAGACGATGGGCGTTCACCCAGCGACATATCGCTAGTGCTAAAGTTTGGCTTCGCATAAGGGAGGTGGGCACCATTCTGGCGTGTGTTGACAGGGCTCGTTGGCGACTCGAGGAACTGTTCTTCAGGAGAGGGGTGAGTGGAGTCACTTCCTTTGGTTCGCTTCTTGAAAAAGTTCAGAAGACCTGTTCGGTGATCCTTCGGGTATGATGAGGGGGTCTCTCCGCCAGAGTGGCGATTATAGGATTCCTGGGGAGAAGGGCGTACTCCGTTGTCCTGTCTGTAAGACTCATAATACCGACGCCCAGTTAGGGAGTCTGCGCTGTTCCCACGAGAGTGTTCAAATTTGACACTCAAATCACCAGTCGATGAGGATGGCCCCGTTTGCGCAAGGGTGGCATGCTGTGTTGCCGGACTGCCGCTCTTAGGGCTGTCCTCATAGGGCCGAATGGGAGCTTGGAAAGTCCCACCATCGCTGGACATTGAAGGACTCTGCCTTTGGTGTTCCCCTCCGATGCTAGACAGAACCGCCCTAGAATAGTCTGACCGCGGCCACATAGTGCCGGTCTCGTTAGTACCGAGTTCGGATGACGTGGGGTCATGGCTGGCGGGTATGGGCGTGGTGAAAGAGCGCATCTGTGTACTCTGCCTCTGATTGTGGACCAGCTGGGAAGCCTTGAATTTGGGACTGTTTGCGACACTACCTGAGAATGGGCCGGCCGAGCGGGGCTCATGGGTCACCTTCGGGGAGGCTTCGTGCCCTCCGTCAAAAATAGCGTTGGAATGAGAATCTCGACGCCTCTGCATCAAATAGTCCGCATCATAGCTGCCATCCTCGTGGATTTGGCGAATCAATTTCCGCATGCGTTTACCCTCCTCGCGTTCGCGAGTCTGATCCCAGCCTGTGCCGCTCAATTCGCATTGCTTTGCGAGTTGAGGATAAACGACGTTGTGCATCTTACCCAGGTTCGGCCGGCCATTGGAGCCATGTCCCAACTCCAGGAAGTCGGCGCCCTCGATTTCTAGGG